CAAAAACAGACATGAAGACCAGTGGAACAGAATAGAGGACCCAGATATGAAGCCACACAACTATAACCAACTTTCTTTGACAAAGGAGCTAAAAATATACGATGGAGAAATAGCAGCCTCTTCAACAAAAACTGCTGGGAAAACTGGTTAGCAGTCTGCAAAAAACTGAAACTAGATCCATGTATATCACCCTATACCAAGATTAACTCAAAATGGATCAAGGATCTTAATATCAGACCCCAAACTCTAAGTTGATACAGGAAAGAGTAGGAAATACTCTGGAGTTAGTAGGTATAGGTAAGAACTTTCTCAATGAAACCCCAGCAGCACAGCAACTAAGAGATAGCATAGATAAATGGGACCTCATAAAACTAAAAAGCTTCTGTTCATCAAAAGAAATGGTCTCTAAACTGAAGAGAACACCCACAGAGTGGGAGAAAATATTTGCCAGCTATACATCAGACAAAGGACTGATAACCAGAATATACAGGGAACTTAAAAAACTAAATTCTCCCAAAACTAATGAACCAATAAAGAAATGGGCAAGTGAACTAAACAGAACTTTCTCAAAAGAAGAAATTCAAATGGCCAAAAAACACATGAAAAAATGCTCACCATCTCTAGCAATAAAGGAAATGCAAATTAAAACCACACTAAGATTCCACCTCACCCTGTTAGAATAGCCATCATCAGCAACACCACCAACAACAGGTGTTGGCGAGGATGCGGGGAAAAAGGAACCCTCTTACACTGTTGGTGGGAATGTAGACTAGTACAACCACTCTGGAAAAAAATTTGGAGGCTACTTAAAAAGCTGGACATGATCTACCATTTGATCCAGCAATACCACTCTTGGGGATATACCCAAAAGACTGTTACTCCAGAGGCACCTGCACATCCATGTTTATTGCGGCACTATTCACAATAGCCAAGTTATGGAAACAGCCAAGATGCCCACCACTGACGAATGGATTAAGAAAATGTGGTATCTATACACAATGGAATTTTATGCAGCCATGAAGAAGAAAAATGTTATCATTCGCTGGTAAATGGATGGAATTGGAGAACATCATTCTGAGTGAGGTTAGCCTGGCCCAAAAGACCAAAAATCGTATGTTCTCCCTCATATGTGGACATTAGATCAAGGGCAAACACAACAAGGGGATTGGACTATGAGCACATGATAAAAGCGAGAGCACACAAGGGAGGTGAGGATAGGTAAGACACCTAAAAAACTAGCTAGCATTTGTTGCCCTTAACGCAGAGAAACTAAAGCAGATACCTTAAAGCAACTGAGGCCAATAGGAAAAGGGGACCAGGAACTAGAGAAAAGGTTAGATCAAAAAGAATTAACCTAGAAGGTAACACACACGCACAGGAAATCAATGTGAGTCAATGCCCTGTATAGCTATCCTTATCTCAACCAGCAAAAACTCTTGTTCCTTCCTATTATTGCTTATACTCTCTCTACAACAAAATTAGAATAAGGGCAAAATAGTTTCTGCTGGGTATTGAGGGGGGAGGGAGGGGGGAGTGGGTGGTAAGGGAGGGGTGGGGGGGAGAAATGAACCAATCCTTGTATGCACATATGAATAATAAAAGAAAAATGAAAAAAAAAAAAAAATGTTGCACACCAGGACCTCAGAGGTCGCCACCTATCATTACACTGACTTCTTTGAGATGGGCCCTTGCTGTGTAGCCCATACAGGCCTGGAACTTCATGATCCTCCTGCCTCAAGTGCTGGGATTACAGACTGTGGCACCACACCTGGTCTGTCACATTGTCTTGACTCCTTGCAGAGGGATAATGAGAAAGTAATGTGACTGAATGGCAGGGGCCTCTTTGGTTATCTCAAGAGCAGATAGCTAAGGAGCTAGTAAAAACAGTAGATTACACACAGTATTGCAGGGGGCTGGGTGTAACTCAGTGTAGCACTTGCCTCGCCTACTATGTGAGGCCCTGGGTTCTGTCTCCAGCAACACAAGAAACAAACAAAAATGAATAATCCTTGTTGGGAGTGGTGTTGAGGGTAATGGTGCAGATTAGTGCCATTCTTAAAACTCTAAAGGTTACCAGGAAGGCAGTCTTTTAATTTGCCAGCCTCACCATTAAGGAATCCAGATGGATCCTGGACAGTGATCATTGACCAAGTACCCTCAATTGCAGGTGCATGTAGCACCAGTGCCACAGCAGCCAAGGCCCCTGCTACATGGTCTGTCGCTCTTGACTGGGCAATCTATTCTTTTCTATCCTGATTAAGAAAGTTTGCATTAATGCGGAATGAATGATCTTTCTCTCCAGTGGTATTGGACTATGTAACTCTTCCCCTCTCTGTTGTATTAAAGCCTGAAGAGATCTGTCATCAAATCTTTTTCCTAACTTAGTCCTGAGTCAAGAGCATCTCTCCTCATTCCACTGTTACCTTCAAGCCATTACCGTCTCATTTAGGCCCCTCTACTCTTGAGAGATTGATGGAATTGCACAATGCACACTATCAATTTGTTTCATCAGTATAGGTAGGAGTACTGAGAGATGGAATTTCATTCACTGCTGGTAAGGGTGTGAACTTTGTGGATGGTTCTTTGGTAACACCAAACAAGCTTATGTATGCATTCTTCTGTGTCTAACTTCAACACTCAGGGAGTATGTCATAAAACACAAAGTATAGAAGCATGCAAAAATATATTGAACAGAGGTATAATTAGTGCAGAGTAGAATCTGGAAATTCAACAAGAAAGAAGTCAAAACAGACATAGGGTCTCAATTAAATTCTATCCCTGCACGGGTATGCTGAGTTGAAATAAAGTGCAGCTGGCTGCTCATCATCACGAGTTGCACAGTGTGGGGAAATGTCTCAACTCAAAAATACAGAACCACACGTTTCTAACCTGTATCTAGTCTTTTTAAAGTAAAAGATAAAAAACAATGCTCACTGCTAATGGTCTGAATATTGGTATTCTCCCAGAATTCGTATGTTGGAAGTTAATACCCAGTGTGAGACATTGGGCATCCCACATGCAAAAATCCCAAATCCAAAACTTTTTGAGCACCTACTGACTTACATGAGTGACGATTTTACACGCTGACCAATTGCATCAAAAAATGTCAGTGCACAAAACACAATAGAACCTGCACAGTGTCAGAATTAGTCTGCAGTTTGTGTCGCTATGCCATGAAGCTACATTGAAACATAAAGGAACATTTCTTCATGTTTAGACTTTGGTCCCCTTCCCAAGATAACTTGTGTATATGCAGGATATCCCAAAATCTGAAAGAATGCAAAGTCCCACATTTGGAGGGGGTGGTGATAGTGTTCTAGTAATTGAACCCATGTGCTAAGCATGTGCTATACCACCAGCCCCTGAAAAAAAAAAAGTCCAAAATCTAAAGCACATCTGGTCCCGAGCACTTCAGATGAAGTATTAGAAGGTAGGGGCTTTGGGAGGGGATGAAACTGTGGGCTCAGCTCGCATAAATGGGATTAGTGCCCTTATAAACGAGGCTCAAGTACATTCCCTTGCTCCTGCCATGTGGTCCCAGAGCACGTGCCATCTGTGAGTAAAAGGCCGTCACCAGATAATTCTGTTGGCACTTTGATCTTGGGCTTCTCAGCCTCCAGAATTGTAAGTAATAAATTTTTGTTTATAAATTACCCTGTCTAAAGCATTTTGTTATTGCAGCCAGATTAGAGCTGGTATCAGGCTATATTAGAAAAGATAAACAGAAAAGACAAAATTTGGAACTGAAAAGAACTATGGCATGGTACAGATATGGTGACAGATATTTGCATTTTAAAAATGATCTTAGGTTTGAAGGTGTAGCTCAGTGGTAGAGCACTTGCCTTAGAATGGGGAAGGCCCTGGGTTCAATACCCAGCACTGAAAAAGTGAATTTCAATTTTAATTACATTTCTCTCAAAATGACATGAGCATGTAATCAGCTACGTTTTGTCAATGTTCTGACTGAGCTTTATGTAACTTCCTTTTTCAAAGCTCTGTCTTCATCTAATCTTACTTTTCTATGGAAAACCAATACAAGTCACAGCCATTTTTATTGCCCAGTTGTTTAAAGCTTTATTCAAAGAGAAAAGATTTGATAGTGCATAGAACTGAGATCTGTTTATCAGCCACTTGCTGGGCCAGCACCAAAGGATTGAGAAAATATTTTGCCCACGAAAAGTTGTATTTAATGCTGTCTAATCATGTTGATCCATCAGAGAGTAAGAGATCGATGTTGTCAGCACCGGGGACAGTTCCTGAAGTCCCAGGTCCCTTTAATCAACTGAGAGTCCATGCAGTAGGGAAGCAAAATATCATGAGGCAAATGCCCCAAACCCAAAGACCACCAGAGGTTCAGTTTGACTTCAAAGAACAGGAAGTCCAGAAACATTCATGAAAGAGCAAGTCAGCACACCAGTCATTGAAGCTGAGATATATGGCAGGGGGAGGCACAGTTACAGAAAATTCCAGTTCATGATTGGGATCTTGACCTATGGTATCTTCCTTCATGTTTGCATAGCCCCTTTTGAGGTAGATGTTATCGTTCCGTAATCTGCTGCCTGTCCTACACCCAGGAGGTCCAAACTTGGCATCCATGCAGGCTATGGTTCATTCATAACAGGTTTCACTTTTTGTTTTAATTGGCTTTCCTATTCATTTTGACCTTTATCTTATTCCTCTTCCTCTTGAAGTTAGATGTGTATTTGGGGATTATACCATTTTACATAGAAAGAACTTTTCAAGTGGAGATGACTAGCATCCTAAGGAAGAAAGAAGCCACTTCTAAAGCAGACCATGGGAATCACAAACTCTGACATCCCACAAAGTGGAGAGTGACATTACAGACATTAGAAATACAGTATATAAGTCATTAATAGTATTACCCGGTGGGTGGTTTTAATAACACTGGTTTGTTTTATCTTTAATATCAAGAATATTTGAATGAACAGGGATCACAATGAAACACTGAAATGTTAACACCAAAAATCGTTTTAGCTCTCATATGCAAATCATCACTAGCACGTTATTTGGTTTTAGTTCATTCCTTCAGATAGTTTGAGTGCTTTTTTAATGTCCTCTGGAATGTGTTCCAAAATGAGTTTAGAAAGAAAAGTACTTGGTAAACCACTCCTGGTGTGGAGAGCCCTGTTTCTGTTGGGTCGTTTCCTCCTCTTGCGCCCTAAAAACAAACAAACATTTCTTATGTGGTTTTGAAATTATTCAGTAAATACAATACTCCAACACCCTTCTAGGGGAAGACAGCTGATTCTTTAGTCTTCAAAAGATACTAGACCGTGACCCTTAGAAGCTGGAAATAAGCTGTAAAAGATAGGGTGGGGAAGGACTTATCTAGTTCCTATTTTGACAACAGAAGGGTCTCCATTATTTGTCCATTGTTTCCTTGAAGTCTCAGTGGTTACTATACTAATGAGGTATATTTCGCAACATTCATTATTTATTTCAGGCACAAATTAGATGATAAGCCCAATTTTAAAAAGGTGAAAAACAGGCCGATATGGTGGCCCACATATGTAATCCAAGCTACTCAGAGATAAGAGGGTTGCTGTCTGAGGCTAATTGGGCAAAAGCCTGAGGCCTTATCTGAAAAAAGCAAACTAAAGCAAAAAGGGCTGGGGGCATGTATCAAGAGGGAGAGCTCTTGCCTAGCAAGTACCAGGCAAATTCAAACCTGAGTACCACCATAAAATAAAAAATAAAATAAAATAAAGGTAAAAATGATTAATCAAGACAGCATTACAATAGATGTCTTCTGTAGTATATTACCTGTTATCCAATATGTTCTAGCATATTAAGTGAAGCTATGAAGTTAGCTGAATAAATAAAAAAAGGAGACAGTAGGCAATAAGACACCCATGTACAGCTGGCTGGATGGTCTTTATCTACATTTGTGAAGCTTTACCTAAAACAATAAACTACCTTTAAACAATGAGAAAAGACCATAGCCAGAGTCAGGAACTGACTAACGGGTGTGCTTAGGATTCCAGGCCTCAGTTTCCACAGCTGTGAAATGACAGAGCTGGACCCATTCAAGGAGGAAGGAGGTCCTTCCAGCTGCCACTCACAGAGCTCTCTGCCTCCTCAGTTCCACCAGCCATGGGTCAGGTAGGCAGGCAGAGCCTCAGGACTGGAAATATTTTAGAAGAGGCCCTTTCTGAAATGTAAGCCTGAAACCGAGCATATAAAATGTGTCCTCTGAATGGAAACTGGATAAGAAGGAGAATTATTCTGGAAGAGATGCTTTCTGCAAGGGAAAGTAAAAAGGATGTATCTGAGATCATTCAGCAGTCAGCCAAACTCACAGATAATAGGCCTTAACATTCCAAAATAGTACAATAAACCTTGATGACCTTAAAAGCAACAGTGAAACTATGTGAACACCTGTATATCAGATCCTGTGCTATTAATCCTATGGATTAATTCCCTCTGTCACATCAGTCTTATGAGCTAGGGGCTGGATCATCTTCATTTTCACTGTGGGAATACAGAGAACCAGTTAGATAAGTGACCTGCCCAAGGCCACACAGCTAAGAAAAGAGGATTTTGAATGCAGACCTGAGGCCAGGTGAAGAGAGCTCACCCTCTGGTAACCTACTTTTAAGTTCTCAGTTATGTGGTTCCTTAACAGAAAGACCTTCTGGAATTCATTAAGATTCCTTCTCTGAATGATCTTTTTCCAAGGCAGGCTCCTTGTGCTTCTGTTCAGATCTGCCAAAATGCCAAGTATTTAGGAGGTGTCAGAAAGGATCCTAACTTCCCTCCTGTCCATGGAACAATGGAGTAGCTGCCCCGACCCCCTTACCTCGGGGCAGTTTTTGCATCTAGAGCCTGGGTGGCTTTGTAAGGGCGGCTGCAGCTAGGGCTTGGGTCCAAGCTGGGTGACTTAGTTATGGGAGGGGCATTGATCCTGGAGCTCAGATCTCCACTTAAGAAGTTCTTAGCATAGGAGGCGAGGTTTGGCACGCTGACCACTCGGCTGGGCACTTCCTCCATCTTCTTTTTCTGTTTGTATTAGAGGAAAATTCTATTAGTGCTGCCCCAAAATCACACTGCTGTGAAAGTAAATAAGACCATCTGACCAAGATTATACAGGAGAAGAGGCCACAGTTATATTTATGGATTTACACATTATTTTAATAAAAATCTTTTTATTTTATTTTATTTTGCAGTGCTATGGATGGAACCCAGACAACTGCTCTACCACTGAGCTTCATAATCAGCCTTTTATTTATTTATTTATTATTAGTTTGCAGTTCTAGGGTTTGAACTCAGGGCCCACACCTTGAGCCACTCTACCTGCCCTTTTTTAGTGATAGGTTTTTTCGAGATAGGTTCTCACAAACTATTTGCCCAGGCTAGCTTAGACTGCAATCCTCCTGATCTCTGTCTCCTGAATAGCTAGAATTATACACCATTTGTTTTTTTTTTTAATGCACAACTTCACAATCTCTTTATCCAGAACTTTGTTTTATAATTCAAAAACAGTTTCTTAGCATTTAGGTGACCATATAACACCTTCAGCCAGGGCTGGGCCCACCCTGTTCTCAAATTCATTAATATTTTTTGGAATGAACTTAATATTTTGTCACACAAAGAGAGATATATTAAAAAAACATAAATGAAACTTCATCAATTCAGGTCACTTTAGGTTTATTGTGCCATGAGCTATGAAAAATTACTGGGAGGGTCATGAATTGAGATCAGCTTGGGGTATATAGTGAGACCCTGTCTCAAAACAAACACCCCTAAAAACAAAACAAAAAAACCCAGTAATAACAGAAGCTGTTATCATTTACATAAAATATTATCACATATAGAAAATTTAAAAGAATAGAATAAGTTTAATAAGGTTGCTAGATTAAAATATGCAAAATTCAATTTTATATATATATATATATATAAAATGTGTGTGTGTGTGTGCGCGCGCGCACGCGCAACCAAGTACGTGAGGAAGAAACTTTTTTCTTTTTCTTTTTCTTTTATGATGCTGGGGATGACATGCAGTGCCTTTGCACATGGTAGGCGGTTACTCCACTGCTGAGCTATCCCCCAGCCCAGAGGAATAATTTAAGACATTACTTGCAATAGAATGAAAAATACCAAGTACTAAAGTATATAACAAATATGTGTAAGATCTACATGTAACAATTTATAATTTATTGTGATCCACTGAAGAAGGCATAACACAAATGGAGAGGTAGATGGCGTTTACACATTAGAAGACTCAATAATATCATGAGGAAATCGATTCTCCCTAAAGTGATTATAGATTCAGGATGATTCTAATCAAAATCCTAACAAGTTTTTTTTCTTTTTTGGTGAATGCATGGAGCTGACAAACTGATTCCAAAATGTTCATGGAAATGCAAAAGGCCAAGAGTGCTGTCCTGACGAGGGTGAGGTGGAAAGACTGCTTTACAAGATACAGGACATAATTTCAAGGCCATAAGGATTAAGACAGTATAGAGGCTGGAAGGACATAGCATGCATGAGTTCTGGGTTCAATTCCCAGCACCAAAAAAAGTAAGAAGTAATTACAGCTCCACCACTCCCCACCAAAAAGAAGTAGAAGATTCCTACTATTTCCCTTCTCTCCCATTATCCCCATGAAGGTATTATTAATAGTGACACATAATTACTATAGAAAATTTGGAAAACACAAAGGTCCATAGAAAATAAAAACCACCCATAATCTGCTCAGTCAGATATAAGCATTGTTTATTGTATTTTGGACTATTTATGTCCTGTGAGTGTTTTTCTCAATAACTAGTCCTCTGAATGTACACCAGTCCATCAATATGCTGCAGTTATCTTTAGGAGAAAAGAAACCAGAAAAATTGTGTGATGCATTAAAACTAATAGAACCAATTTACCTTCATGGAAGGGGTCAAATACCCTGGGTGAGGATTGAAAGAGAAGGATCGATTCCGATGGGACACTGCGTTGTGAAATCTTCTCTCTTCCTGGAAAACCAATTTCATTGAGTCTAAATGTGCCTGAGCACATGGCACTGGCTTTGACTTGAAGGAGGGTGACTAGCAGGGCTTAGAGGGCAGAGGAAGTGAGTGGTAATGAGGCCGCCAGCCACTGAAGCTCTGAGTATGTACAGCCCTCGTGTGAAGGGAAGGACAGGCTCATGCCTTAGCAGGGGAAATCCCAGCATTCTTAGCATCTGAGAGGGAAAACCTGGTTCAGAAAGGTCTGATGAAGGCAGAGAAAGAAAGCCCCACATCCACAAAAAGATTTCACCTTCTTTCCTTCCTTTTGTCTTACATGTACATCAGCTACTTTCTAACGTGCAGAAGTAGAGAGGGTTATACGGTCCATGTCCCACTTCAGTGATTGAATTTCTAAGAGATTAGGATTCTTTTTTTAAAGTCACAATATCTTTTCACACTTAGCAAGTGAGCAGTAATTCCTTATTAATCTAATTCTTAGTCAGTGGTCAAAGTAGGAGACCGAGACATGAGGTGGATGACAAGGACTGAGTGAAAGTAAAGGACATTCAAAAGAAATGACCACTAGGCCTTGATGGCATTTCTATACAGAATCAGAGGCTGTTGGAAATATTCTCTTCAAGAGGCCCGCAAGTGACCTTGCTAGTTAGAAAATAGGTTTCATTTTTATGAAAGGAAATTTAATAATAATAATGATAAATTTGATTGATTATGAAAATTCAAATGCAAGCCATTACAGATTTTTCTCAAATTCAATGTCAACATCAAGAAGATGCTGTGGATTGGGGAGTAGAATGTTTTTTCTTTGCCTTCTATTTTCCTGTATAAGTTTTTTTTAGTGATGACTTTTTAAAAATAGGAAAAAAACATTGGGAAGGATTCTTTGTAAATCAAAATTTTGGGTGTCTAGAGAAATGCCAGGTACACAGTGAGCACCCTTTGGAGGAGCTATGCAGCACCTGGACAGGCGTGCAGGTGTGCAGGTGTACGGGTGTGTGGGCAGGTGTACAGGTGTGCGATGTGCCGGTATGCAGGTGTTCAGGTGTCCAGGTGTGCAGGTGTGAGGGTGTACAGGTGTGTGTGTGTACAGGTGTGCGGGTGTGTGGGCATGTATACATGTGTGCAATGTGCCGGCATGCAGGTATACAGGTGTACGGGTGTGTGGGCAAGCATGGAGATGTGCAGATATGGAGGGTGCAGCTGGACAGCCTGCGGCCTCACCGTGAGCTGCCTGATGATCTCTTCTCTCTCCTTCAAGCGGGTCTGCAGACGACCTATGAGCTGCAGGTCCTCAGGCCGCGACACTCCCTTCCCAGGCTTCTCTCCAGAGTCTTTCAGTCTGGTCAAGGTAGGCAGTTACTCAACAGGGCGGAGGAAGACCAAGTGGACAGAGGGAGATGCTGCATGTGCTTAGCTTTTCCAACCCTGCCCAGGCTGCAGGAGGGCCAGTTGAGCTGGCAGCAGAACCCAACCCCCAGCAACTAGTGACTTCAGTCACTTCTCTCCCAGCTGCAGGTCCAAGGACCTAAAGACTCGTGTGCACCTAGATTCTGCTTGCAGCCGGGCTTCCAAAGCCAGAGATGTTGCTGGAAGAGCCCTGGGTAGGAAATCTGGTGCCACGGCACAGAGAAGGAAGTTAGTGACACAACCTTGGGCCCAGCATTTCACCTGTGAGCCTCAGTTCCTTCCTCTTTAAAATGGGCAGGAGATTGGGCGGTTGATTGAGAGAAGGCAATGAAATAATAGCTGGCTGGCACAGAGCAGTGCCCACTGGATAGGAGCTGGTAAAACCTTTCAAAGCAGGTTTTGTGTGATCTGTTTTGGCTCTGGAGATCTGGAGAGCAGTTCGTAAGAGCACAGGCTAAGGGTCAGATAGGTAACCTTCAACTTTACTTAGTGCTGTATAACGTGGGCAAGTGGTTTCACCTCTGTGGACCTGGGTCACTGTGGTCACCTCCTAACTGGTCTCCTTGTCAACCATCCCCATCCTCTAGCTTTATCATTGCTCAACAACCAGAGGTGACCTTGTTAAAAGATAAGTCAGATCACGTCATTCCTGTCAAAAGCCTTGCAGTGGCTTCCCTTTCAGAGCAGGATCTCCCCCACCCACCTCTCTTCCTTCCACTCACTTTCTCATTCACTGTGTGCAGCATGAGTCTTCTGGCTGTCTTCTGCCAACCATGCCTAGGTGAAGCAGGTCCCAGGGCCTTAGCATTTGCTGTTCCTTCTTCTGGCTCTCAGAGATACTCTAAGTTTACTTGCCTTGTCATTCTTAATATCTCACTTACTCAGAGAGGCCTTCCTTATCCACTCTCTTTGCCACTCTCTGCACCCTGATCCTATCTTTCCTCTAGCACTTTCACCATGTGAAGTTAATAGTTATTTGTATGCTTATTCCTTGTCTGAATCCACACCTCTAATTTATGAGCACCATCAGGGTCGTTGTGTTTTGTTTCCTGCTATAACTCTAGAGCCTAAAATACTGCATGACACATAGTATTCATTTGTTGAATACTGTGTACGTGTGCGTACCTGCATGAGGTAACCTTGCTTTCCTTACTTCTCAAAGAATAACAATTTCCACCTTTAAAGACTGTTGTGAAGATCAAGGAAGATGAGGCATGTTGGAACAGACAAAAAGCTTATTTTTTAAAAAAAGCAGCCCAAATCCTTTTGATTTCTTCCAGGTGTGAGGGGTAAACCATGCTAAGATAGAGACGTTCTCACAGGACCCCAGAGCACTGCAGCCTCATAAAATAAAGGATAGCTAACCAACCTCATTTGCCTGCAAATGCAGGTCTTCCTGGAACTCAGGAAGTTTTTAAACCATGATATTCTAGGGACACTGGGATGAATCGCCATGCTCACAAGTGGCACATCTTCTGATCTCGCTCAACCCAGGCTCAAGGCCTTACTCACTCAGCTTCCAGAGCAGCTAGCCGGGCCTGGAGCCGGGCCTGGGCACCACTGAAATCTGCCACCATAGCCTGCATCTCCTTCCGGTGCTCCTGGCGAAGCGCTTCCACCTCCCTTACCCTCTGAGCTTGCTGGTCCTCCTCCAGCAACCTATGGTGGACAGAAGCACAGACAGACTGGCCAAGGCTCTGGCAGTTGAGCCCTTTGGGGTCTGGGTTTAATCCCCTCTCTGCTGATCAGCTCAGTTTGGGGACCCTGAGTTGGGGAGGTTATGAATGTAAGGTCAGCCTACCCCTGGGAAGGACAGATAGGTCTCTGAGTTTGGGATCCGGGGTAAACACCACAATGGGACCCATAGCTACCCTTCTACCCCAGTATCCACTAAGTAGAACCGGAGAAGAGAGCCACTTTCCCAGGGCCAGTGGAAAACAGACCTGGAAGAAGCCCCAGGTAGGGAGGCCCAGATACTTGGGACTCTTAGAGACCTGGGAGATCTCCAGTCCAGATGTCAAGGCAGTGGGATCGGGTAAGGGAGTAGCATTTAGGGCCAGGATGCTGTATCCATAGCTGCCTCTTACCACTTCCTAACTGTGTGAAACTGGGCACAGTCTCCACTTCTGTTAAATGGAGGTGACATTGGTACCTACCTCACAGGGTCAGTGAAAGGAGGAAGTACGCTAATACAAGTCTAGAATAGTCCAGGGCACTAAGGAAGTGTTTAACCATTAGCTATCATTGTTCTTAACCTACAGGTTAAGGTGGGGAACATAGGGGTTCAAGGGTGAGTCCTAGGGGCGTTTCTCCCTCAGAAAGCACATGCACAGTTTTGTGTGATTGTATCTTTTTCCCAGGACAGGAATCATTGCTTTCCTCCTTATGGTGAAGAGTCCCTACCTGAACTTACCTCTTCTTTTAGAACTTTCCCAGTGCCACACAGCAGATCACTAACTAAATGAGGAGAACAGGCTGGATCTGCTCTGGGTTACTCTATGTTGTCTAAAACAGCAGATTAAAACTTGTGCCTAGTTTTGACTTACTCCATTTTATACAGCAACAGTTTTGACCTTAGCTACTCTACTTTGAGTAAAAGTGCCAAAACAGAATGACTCTATGTCTGTTTATACAAGTAAACAACTACCATCTGCCACATGAGGCACAAACTAATAACTTATTTGTGCCAGTGAACAATCACATCTGCAAATATATCAAATTATATCAGACACATGCACTTACAGTCACACCAGATGTAAGCCCCTCACCTGAGACTATAAAAGGAGAAACATGCCAAGACTAAGACTGACCCGCCACCCAGTCACCTATCAAAGGGCCTCTGCCTCGGCCCCTGGACTCTCATGCTTATGACACACAGCTCACTTCAAACTGACACTTGAAGTGGTCTGCCACCTGCACCAGCATTTGACGACTCTGTGCGTTGAACAGATCTACAAATGGTAGATTTGTTATCTGCTTCCCTAGAGAGATTTTTCCTTGCCCTGCCTCCAGCACAGCCCTCTACACTCTGCAGCCTCTTTAACCCATATGTATTCTGTAACCTATATGTTGTTACTGGGTGAAATGTACTGTGTGATTTTGGAGTTCATATTAGCAGTCAAGATCGAAGTAAAAGAACCTGTTTGCCAATGTATCATGGCTATCAAGTGATGTCATTCGTACTTGGCAAATTAATATCAATGAAATTGACATCGCTTGAGAATTTATTGCTATTTGATAATATCTAACTTTGTGGAAAGATGTGAGCATGTCCATTTATGTTTCTGACAGCTTGCTCAGGACACTGAGCCTAAGGTGAAGCAGAGTGGTACCCTCAGTGCCATCTGGTGACTCAGAAGCACCTCCTAGGAATTTGTCAGAAACGCAAATTCTAAGTCTAAATAAGGCTAATTCTCAGTGTGCACCCCATCCCCAATGAGTCAGAAAGGCTGTGGGTGTGTCTGGTAAAGTGACCAACAAGGCTTCAAAGTGACTTTTTTTCCTTTTTTGTGATGCTGGGGATCTAATGCAGGCCGTGCCCATGCTAGAAAAGTACTCTGGATCTGGGCTATGCTCCAGCTCCCAGCTACAATTTGAGAGAGACCTTTACCAGCTGACATTTCTTGACTTGGTGATTTGTTTGTGCTCTCAATTATTCTAAACACTTTACATGTTCTCTCTCTAAATCTCTTTCTCTCTCACACACACACTCTCCTCTTCACAGTCTCTCTATGTAGCCCAGGCTAGCCTCCCAAGTGCTGGGATTACAGGTGTTCACAGCCATGCCCGGCATATGCCATCTTCTTTAATTGTCTCAACAACCTGTGTGCTAGACACTGTTATTCTGCCATGCTCTGGGCAACCCAGGCCTAAAGAATTTAAGAAATGTGCCCAAGGTCCTGCTTTAGAGGCAGAGTTAAAATTGTTGACCAAAGACAAACTCCATTCTTCCTCACACCTACATGTGATGTGAAGGCAGGTGTGTAAGCCCCACCATGCATCACTGTCCCTCACTTTTATAAAGAAGTGCCATGTAAATAAACAAATACAGTCTAAGTACAAAGCAGTTCTGGGCAGGCCCAGCAGGATTCAATACACATAACTGACAAATAATAGAGAAAACAAGGGATCTTTCAAACATTAAGATGACAAAAAGAAAATTCTCAACAACTTTATCCCCAGGACTGTGACCATTCAAAAACTTAGATGAAGGGCACAAATCCCTTGAAAGATACAAAAACCTCATTCAAGAAGAAATAGATAACCTAGCAAGTCCTACATCTATTAAAGAAATTGAATTTATATTAAAAGCCTTCCAACAAGACAGAAAAATCACTACAAATTCAGAAGTGATAAGGTTGTTTTTGGAACAATGAGGTTTGAACTCAGGGCCTTACACTTGCTAGGCAGGCGCTCCTACCACTTGAGCCACCGCACCAGCCCTTTTTTGTGTTGGGTTTTCAAAATTGGGTCCCGCAAACTATTTGCCAGGGCTGGCTTTGAACTGTGATCCTCCAGGTCCTTGTCTCCCAAGTAGCTAGGATTACAGGCGCGAGCCAGGGAAGCCCAGCCAGAATCGGTAAGTTTTTAACGTGCACAATTAACCAGCATAGGGCTTCCTCCGTACAGGGACGAACGGTGATGGTGGTGTCACCCCACCTGACAGAGGAGGACGCAGCCTGGGGCTTAGCTGCCTCCCCCGATGCCGCACAGCCAGGGGAGCGCGCACGGCCCGGGGCGAACTGTGCCACAGTGGTGGGACAGGTGCTCTGGTGCCTAGACTTGCAGGGACACAGGACTCCTTCTATTTCCGGGCAAACCCGCTGCCGTTCTGACATCTACAATCCCAGAGCACTGGCACTTTTCGCGGGTCAAAGGGGAGACCTCCGTGAGGTGCCAGCGTGCTGAGGACAGAGGATGCCCCGGGCGCGGCCGGGTCGCACGCACCTGCGCTGGTCGCGGTGCTGCTCCACCTCCGCGCGCAGCCGCAGCACCGCGTCCTGGAGCTGCGCGTTCTCCTCCAGCAGCCCGCACGCCGCACCCAGCCCTGCAGCGCCGCCCGCATCCTAAGGAGAAGGCAGCCAGGAGAGGCGTTTTCAGGAGGCGCCAAGGTGGACAAGGCCCAAGGGGCCTGAGATGGGTTGCAGGAGAGACAGAGGCATAAGCGCTCAGCCCATCCTGGAGCTCCACTCTGCCCTCTGCAGTTTCCCTGCTTCGGAAGTTGGCCAAATCTGACTTTCCACGAGTTTAGTGAAACTGGTGCACCACGAATGTAGGTTACATCCAAAGAGACAACACACTGCACCTGTTTCACGACGCCATCCATGCCTGTGGTCTTGCTGCTCTCTTCACCTGGAGTGGCCTCCCTGCCTAAATGTGACTGTCAACGCCCTAACAGAACCTGGCAGGAGACCGTAGTGCTGGCTGAGCTGCACCAGCAGCAAGTGCTCTGGGAGCTGCAGGTAGAGGGTCTTGGTGTGGGGGCAAGGTCCCAGTGTGGAGTAGAAGCTGTGTGCAGGGGAGGTCCCTGGCAGGGAGGGTAGGATGTGTGCAGGGGACGGTGCCAGCATAGAGGGCAACGTGGGTGGGGAGGAGGGAGAAGGCAGGGCACAGATGCCAAGGGGCAGGGGGAAGAGGGCTGTAGCCTGTATTGGAGCTTGTTCCAGTGGGAGCCACTGAAGGTTTTATACAAAGAGCTTGGCGTTAGCAGAACACCTGAAGTGGTGTGCAATGGGCTGGGGGAGAGAGGCCAGGACTGTTGAACTGTTGAGAGGTATTTGTGCTTCTGGCTGGAGCAGGAATTATGAGCATGAAAAGAAGGTGCTGATGGATGGGGTCTCAGCAGGAACTTGACTTAGGGTCACACTGAGTCTGAGTGATAAGGCTGCTGCCTGTACTGGAACAGCAGGGTGTAGACAGGGAACCTGTCTGGGGAGGTTTTCTGAGAAATTCCCCTGCAGATCCAGAGTGACCCACACTAGGGGTCAGGAGGTCCGCAAAATCCTGGGATGCCATCCATCTGAATTATAAGTAAGGTGCAACATTTAAAACCTGCATTTTGGTTTTCAAAAGTGGGGCCTGTAGGCCACTGGGTGTCCCTAGGCCATGGAAGGAATAGGGCCTTGCCACTTCAAGCACTGAAGTGTTCCAGTACCCAGAGCCTGTCTTTTATGGCTGCCCCTGAAGAGAGGGGGGTGTAAGCAGGGGCAGGGTACTGACCTCTGTGGTGTTGGTGTGGTCCTCACTGTCCCCTGGACATGGGCTGATGTCCTGCTGTCTTCCCAAACTGTCCAGAGCCCTCAGCTCAGCCCGCAGGGCCTCCAGGTCCTTCTGGTGCTCTGAGCAGGCAGCTCGCTGCTCGGACAGCTCCTGCCTGAGGGACTCTGAGGAAGAGCAGTGGGAGGTCATGGTCGATGCCAAGGCTGAAGTTTTCCCTGCAAGGACATTCCCAGAGGTGGGGTGGAGCAGGCAGCTGCTGAAGGCTTTGGGTTGAGTTTTCTAACCGTATTCCAAGATAACAGAAACAACAGTACCATGCCTGGGGCACTAAATGAGCCAAACCCTTCAAAAACTGTTCTCATTTAAGCCCTGCAAGCATCCTATCTGCTACCTATTATCTCCCCACCCCATGGTCCTCCTTCCCAAGCCCATGTCAGCTCAATTTTATAAGAAACATCAGAGAGGATGGGTGAATTGTCCACAGTACACAGCACTTAAACAGTGAAGTTAGGATTCAAAATTTCAAGTGAGTTTTCTTTGGTTTGAGTCATCTGTTGGGTGACTGCTAGTTGGTTAGGACAGGTGGCAGGTTAAACAACCTGTCCAAGGTCACACAGCTAGTGAGTATTGGAACCAGGCTGCAATTAGACCTTCACTGTCTTCGGAATGTCTTATGTGAGTCGGCTTTGATGTGGAAATGAAAGAGGGACTAGTTTCATGCTGGGGACAATATGGGGCAGGCAGAGGAAGAGGAGGAACAGGCAGGTGCCTGGAGGCCTGAGGTCCCTAGTTTGCAGAAATCTTGAGAATGGAGATAGGAGGTTAAGCCAATCCTATGAACCCCTGCGAAGGCTCAATCTAAGTTTTATTGAATGGCGATGATGGCGTCTCTCTCCCCTGGGCTTATGCTGTGTGTGAGGCATGTTACGCTCAGTATCTCCTTCGTCCACATAGTAACTGCAAAGTAGAGACAATGGCAGCCCAATTTTATAGGACAGGAAAAGGAGGCTCAGAGCTCACCTTGCTCCCAGCTAGTTAGGAAAAGAGCCAGGATTGTCATTCTAGTTGTGTGCCTCTAGTTCCCTGGGTCCCTCCCTGCCTGCCACCGGTTTCCATGGGTGGACCCCCCGGGTGGCTGGGCCCCCAGGTGTACAGGTGTATGTTTACCCAGAAGCAGGGTCTGCTGGGCCTGTGTCCTCTCCCGTTCTTCTTGCAGCTGTTGCCTGGCTTTTTCCTCCAAGGCCTGGAGCTCTAGCCGGTGTGCCTGGTGCTGGATGTGGAGGCTGTGGCTGGATTCCTTCTTCAAGCGTTCCTCTGTGGCCTGTGGAAAAAAGCAAGAGGAAGGACTCATGAAACTGGGCACTCGTTACTCATTTGTGGAGGGCTTATCAGGGTACAGGGGATGCTCCAGCAATGGCCTGACCACAGCAATCATTTTTACACCGTGTAAACCCACCATCTCCACTAGATTGGACACCTGTTCCAATGTGGGTCAGCCAGATTTCTTTCATTTAGAATTTGGTGTTAGGAGGTAGAGGAGAGAGGGACCAAGAAAGAGAGACAGACAGACAGATACTGTGTGGCTCAGATTTAACATAGTCAGGAGCACAAAGTGAGCATCTTCCCAGGCTGAGTGGAGGCACCTGTCTGTTGGTTTCTGTGGTGGAGACAAAAATGGCCATCAAGTTGTTCACATCTGAATTCCTGGAAGCTGAATATGTTGCCTTCCATAGCAAGAACGACTTTGCAGACATGACTGATTGAGCAAAGGATGCTGGGAGGGGAGATGACTCTGAATTATTGGGGTGGGCCTCCGTCACAAGACTAATTTTAAGAGGGATGCAGGAAGGTCATTTGGAGATAATTTGATGGTGGAAGCAGAGGGGAGAACAGGATAGAGAAAGATCTAGAAGTGCTGCCCGCTAGTTTCAAGACACAGGAGGGGCCAAGAGCCGAAGAACTCAGGCAGTCACTGACAGGAGCTGGAGAAAGCTTCAGGAGGAACTCAGCCCTGCACTGCCTCACTTTAGAGCAAGCACTGACAGGTACTAAATCTGTGCTGGGTTAAGACCCTCCCTTTCTGGTCATTTGTTACAGCAGCAATAGGAAACGAATACAGTTTCTTTTCTCTTTGCTTTTTCTTGTTTTTGGCAAGAAAGTTTCAGTTCTAAAATACTTTTTAGATGAGGAAACAGATAGGTAAGCTTTTCCAAGGTCACACAGAAACGATGACAGTGTCATCACACCCCCCCTTTAACAGAGGAGAAATTAGGATCAGAAAGGTAAAGGACCCGCCTGATGACAGGTCACAGCGGGGCAGCCCTTGGGTGACAGAGTTCAGTCCAGACAAACAAACAAAGTTACATGTTACCAGGTACCAGGTGTCAACCAGAAAGAGCATAGATTTCTGGAAGAAAGTTGCGGCAAGATTCCCTAACCTATCTTAGCTAGTAGAAAGAGCCCCAACGAAAGCCACAAGCGGGTCTCTCCCTCCACACGCCACACCCTTGAGTGCCTTCCCCGCTTTTCCTGCTTCTCACTGCTTCCCACTGCCTGCCTAAGAAACTTGCTGTCTGCTTCCTGCTTCGTGAATCACCTTGAAATTCTATTTATCAACACATTCGAGAGCTTGGAACTGGGGGGCAGAGGAATGAGTTGGGATCTCTCATTAAACTCTCTCCCTATGTGGTGACAAAGTTTCCTCCGGAGACATCTCTTTCTGGGTCCCCTTGTTGCAGTGTGGACTGAGTGCTGTCCCCCAGCACAGCCAGCCCCTGGCTCTTCCTACGTGGCCTGCGATGGCCCCTGGATCCCAATCCCTCTCATTCCTTCTTCCTGGTTTGCTCCCTGGATTGGTGGGACACCTCTTTAAGGACGTTCCTCAGATGGCAGGGAGGGAACGCCTTTTGAGAAAGTGGCATTTGTGCCAGGCCCTAAGGCAGAAGGCGTGAGATAAAGTGTGTTTGAAGCACTTGCTGATTAAACATCACAGAGGGACTGACAGCCACACTGCAGCTTCCCAACCCCTTTGGAGGGTTTTTGTTGCTGAGTAGATTTTTCTTAACCTGCTTCTCCCCCCCCCAGCACGAGTCCCCAGCATGCATCATGTCATGACAGCATGTTGTTCTTGTTAACATAAGGGCAGGTAGGAAACACCATGCCAGAAGCCCAACAAAGCTGAGCCTAATTTGAAATTTACTAGCTGTGTGACCTTCAGCAAGTTACTGGACCTCTCTGAGCCTCTGTCCTCATATAGGAAAAGGTATGAGGATAACGACGACCTTGTGGGTGATGGTGGGGCCTGGAGATAATGGGCAAAAGGCAGCGTAGAGTGCCCAGCAGGTGCCCCTCACCTTGAGCTCCTGGGCGTTGGCCTTCTCGAGCATGCGCAGGGCCTGCTGCGCCTTGGCGGCCTGGCCCTGCTGCAGGCTCTCCTGGAGCTGGCGCTGCAGCTTCTCCCTCTCGTGGTCCGACAGCTGCTCGAGCGCCTGCAGGTCCCCCCGGTAGTCGCTGGCACACTGCTCCAGAGCCCGCTGCAGCTGAGACACCTGCGGACGGCATCCCAGCTCAGGCCCGGCCCTTCTCCTTTCCGGGGGCGGGGGGCACGGTTTACAAAGGCAAGCTTTCCAAGCGACCCCTCATCCTAGCTGAGCCTCCCGCACCTGTGGGAGAACCTGCAAGGCCTGCAGAGGACGCCTCAGCTAGAGCCACGAAGGCCAGGAAGAAGGGAAAAGGGTGCGACAGGAACTTTGCAGGGGAATCGGGCCCAGTCTCCCCTGCAGAGCTCACTCAGCGACCTCCCTCGCCCGCCCGAGGGACTTGCTCAGATCTCATTCCTCACTGAGGCTTTTCCTGAAGGCTCCATCCAGTGCCAAACCTCCCAGCTGTGCCCCCACCTCATCCCCAGCAGCCCCATCACCTCCGCCAGCTCTCTTTCCTGAAGTCCTTATCATTTCGAATCCCCTGCGTGACTCACTTTCTTATTTACCGTGGCCACCTCCTCTGCTAAAAGCAAAATCCCGACATCCCTCCCATCTGCCTGGGACCCGTTCAGGACCTCCGTGGTGACCAGATAAAATGGGGTAGTGTTTGCATAGAACCTGCACACATCCTTTGTACTTTAAAACAGCTCTACAATTCTATACCTACTACAGTGTAAATGCTATGAAATAGTTATTAAACTGCACTGTTTAGGAAATAATGACAGGGAAAAAAAATCTGTACATGTTCTGTATGGATCCAGTTTCTCCCCCAATCTGTAGAGGGTTAAATCCACAGATGAATGAATATTACCTGCTCCACTTCTGCTGCCAATACAACATACAATATATTAACTACACAGTATATTATAATTATTTGATATATACTCTCTAACAGTCAATCACTAATAATAGGTCCTCACAAGCATCGCCAGTTTTGAATGAATAAGCAAAACCTAGAATCCCATCTAGCCCTGGACTTAGGATGCTCTCCCAGCTTGCAGGAGAACCAGGCCCCTGTGCTTTCCCAACAGTGCAGGGGGGAGACACAGTCTCACTGAGGAAGCCCCCCACCGGCCCCCCAGGGTTGCCCTTCTACCTGGGTTTGCAGTCTGGCCTTCTGGCTTTGCCAGTCCTGCAGATGGCGGATTTCCGGTGCCTTCTCCTTCAGCAAAGAGCCTAGTGGAGCTTGCAGGTCACTTCCTTCCTTGAGGGGAGCTTCAGTCCTTTGACGATATGGGTGTTACATCACTAAAAATCCCAGGGTTGGGAATAAAACTATGCCCTGATAGCATCTCAGCTACTCTACTCAGGTGGAGGAAGCTCCAGTCATGGTTAGTGGGGTGACAAACACCTTATTTGTCTTTCAACAAAAGCAATCTGCCACATAAATTCTAAGTGTTATTGCACAAGATTCTACCCGATTCCTATTTTAGTGGGAGCTTAATAAATGAGACAGGATGTCAGAATGACTGAGAGCTTAGAGTTGTTGTTTTTTCTTTTGGGGGGGGTGGTCCTTGGAGGTACCAAAAAAGATGTCTCTATGGTCTAATTTCACAACTCTTCTGTGGATGAGAAGAAAGCAACAGTAATACTTTACACCATACTTTACACTTTTCAAAGCATGTTCATAATTTTTACTGGCTGTCCCCATTTGTGAACTGAAGAATTATAAATAGACCTTTTCTCAGGTAGAATGAACAAGAAAGAGCTCCAACAGTCTCTGCTTCCTAGAGAAGAGGCCAACAAACACCTCTGGGGGAAGGCCACCCTTCCTCGATTCTGAACTTTGGAACTAGCCAAGAAATGCAGACGTCTCCAGAAGGATGGAGAGCGTTTACCTTGTTGAACAATGTAAAAGGATGTCACATGGTCACATTCTGCTTCCCCTGACGTGACATTAGGACAGATGACCAGAGTTTAGAGGGAGTCCCTTACTGGGAAGAAAGGACATGAGAACGGGCACTTTGCTTGGTGGAGGGAAGAAGGCCCAGCAACATGGGCTCAGGCTGGGGAATCAAGCGAGAAACCGTCAAGCAGACGCCTGAAGAAAGGACAGGATGCTCACCCAGCATAACCACATGGCCAAGAGCCTGAGCGCCAGAGCTGCACTGCCTGGTTCTGATGCCAGCTGAACGACTGACTGTGATGTGACCTCAGGTGAGATCTTTAACCTGTCTGGGACCAACCTTTCTCATCTGTAACATGAGATTGACAGTGGTACCTTTGACTTGGATTGTCACACAGAGTAACAGAGTTAACGTCAATAAAGTGCGTAAAGCCATCTGGCACATGGTAAGAATTATACACAAACACCAAAAGAGGGTTTTCTGTCTTTATGTTCTAATTCTTTTAGGTTTATCTTCAAGACTTTTTATTTTGAATTTTATTTTGTGGTATGGGGCTTGAACTCAGAGCCTTGCACTTGCCAGGCAGGTGCTCTGCCACTTGAGCCAAATCCCCGCCCAACATCAAGCTTTTTTTTTTTTTTCATTTTTCTTTTATTATTCATATGTGCATACAAGGCTTGGTTCATTTCTCCCCCCTGCCCCCACCCCCTCCCTTACCACCCACTCCACCCCCTCCCGCTCCCCCCCTCAATACCCAGCAGAAACTATTTTGCCCTTATTTCTAATTTTGTTGTAGAGAGAGTATAAGCAATAATAGGAAGGAACAAGGGGTTTTGCTGGTTGAGATAAGGATAGCTATACAGGGCATTGACTCACATTGATTTCCTGTGCTAAACACAACCATCTTCAAAAGGTGATGAATGAGATATCTGAGTTGTGATCTGGGTATGAAACAACCTATGACGATCCAGATGAGGCTAGAGAAGCAAGGAGGGAGCTAGAGCAAGAGTGACAAGTGGCACTGCCACCCACATGGGCTGTGGGACACAGGTACGCTCTCACTGTGGAATCTCAGGGGAGGAAGCTGGACTTTCTCCCGGGATAGGGGCTCATTTTCTACTATCTTAAAAATGTTTTATTGAGATAAACTTTACATATAGTGATATGCGAATGTACAATTTAATTTTGACAAATATATATGTTTCTATCATATTTTTGTTAACTGAAAATTCTCCCTCAACCCACTTCCCATTGGTCCACCTCCCATAGGCAGCCCAGGGCTATTTCATTACTATAAGTCACTTTTGCTTGCTGGTAAGCATCATGAAAACTGCACCTGTGTGGTTTGGGTCAGAACCGTGATCTCCAAAGTCCGATGTTGATGGTTTGTGAGAGGCAGGACCTTTGGAAGGTGACAGGGTCATCTTATGGTTTGAATCTGAGATGTTCCCCATAGGCTCATGTGCTGGGGACTTGTGAAAAGTGGTTAGACCTAATCAATGGATTGATCCCTTGATGATTTCATAATATGACGGCATTCGTTATAGGGTGAAAATAGGAGGTGGGGTCATTGGAGGAAGTAGGTCACTGGGGTGTGTCCTGAAAGACGTGTCTTGTTCCTTATTCCTTTCCTTTCTTGTTCTGCTTCCTGTCTCCTTGAAGTTGTTTCTCTCGGGTATTTGTCAGAGATGAGAAAGCTAACTAACACAGGTCATTAGGGCTCTGTCCTCGTGAACGGAAGCATCCCTTCATGGATGGATTAACGGGTATTGAGGGGTGGCTCTGTCAGGCTTGCTGGGTCTCAGGGTGTGAGGCACTGCACCAGGTTATCATGCCATCCGTACGCTCGTGGACTTCCCAGTCTCCAGAACTGTCAGCTAAACGAACTCTATTCCTTACAGTGACGACTACAGTTCTCTGTTACAGCTAAGGAAAGGGGACTAAGACAGTATGCTTTTGTTTCTAGCTTCTGTTACTCAACATAATTCAGGACTTATCTACGTTGTTGCATATGTCAGTACTCCATACTTTTTCTTGCATGAATATATCACAATTTGATTATTCATTTTTGTACTAATCGGCATTTGAGTTGTTTATGTTTCTGGGCTATTATGAATAAAGCTGTTAGAACTATTCTTATACAAGTGTTTTCTGGATATATATATATATATATAAATATATATATTGCTGAATAATCTAGGAGTAGAGCTACTCATAGCTATGTGCTCAACTTTTTAAGAAACTATCAAATTACTTTCTGCAGTGTTTGACCCACTTTGTATTATGACCAGCAGTATATGAGAGTTCCACTTGCTCTATCTTGTTGCCAACCTTCTGTGCTATAGGTCTTTTAATTTCAATCATTTCAGCGGCTGGGAAGAGGTATCTCTTGTGGTTTTACCTTGCTTCTTCCTGATAACTAACGATGCTGAGCACATATTTATGTGCTTTTGGGCCACTCACATATGTATCTTTTAGGGAAGTGTCTGTTCAAGTACTTCGTCCATTTAAAAAATATGCTTGGGCTCAGGGTGTGACTCAAGTGGTAGAGTACCTGCCTGGAAGCACAAGGCCTTGAGTCCAAACCCCAGTACAATTCCCCCAAAAAATCTTACACTAAAAATAGGTTAGTCTTTCCTTCCTCCCTCCCTCCCTCCCTCCCTTCATCCTTTCCTTCCTCCTTTTTCCCTCCCTCCCTCCCTCCCTCCCTTCATCCTTTCCTTCCTCCTTTTTTCCCTCCCTCCCTTCCTTCCTTTCTCTTTCTTTTCCTCCCTCCCTCCCTCTTTTTATCCCTCCCGCCCTTCCTTTCTTCCTTCCTTTGTTTCAATAGGGTCTTGCTAAGTAGTCCAGGCTACCTCAAAACTCAAGATCCTTCTATCTCAGGCTCCCAAGTGTTGGGAAGGTTTGTCTTCTTTATTATTGATTTATAGGCGTTCTTCATATTTCTCAATACAGACTGGATATTTCTCCCTATTCATTTTTAATGGTAATTTTTTTAATGAGCAGAGTTTTCAATTTGATGAAAACCAATTTATCAATTCTTTGAAAATTAGTGTTTTCATATCCTATCTCTTACTCCATGCTTACTCCAAAGTTACAAAATACTCTTCTGTGTTTTAATTTTTGTGTTTACATTTATGATATATCTCAAATTAGTTTTTGTGTGTGGAGTGACATAGGTTGAGTTTCCTTTTTTCTTCATGTGTATCCATTTCCAACACCACTGGTTGAAATCCTTTCCTGTCCCCATTCACTTGCCATGGCACTGTGAGCAAAACTGAATCTACCAGCTCTACATAAGTCTATTTCTAGACCCTCCATTATTTCTGACAGGTTTATTTGTCTCTCTATATAATGAGGGCTACAGTCTGTATTACCCCAGCTTCATAGTATGTCTTAAAATCAACTTTGTTCTTCAAATTTTTTTATTTATTTATTTTTTACCTTTTTTCTAGGTCTTATGCTTTTCTACATCAATTTCAAAACAGTTTATTTATTTCTACACATAAGACAGTTGGAATTTTATTTTGTGTTGAATTGAATCTGTAGAGCAATTTATAGTAACAAGTAACCTCCTAACAATACTGAATATTTTATTTCTTGGATTTTTTTTCTGTTCTCAGGATGAGCTCAGGGTCTTTGTGCATGGTATGCAAGTGCTCTACCACTGAGTCACATCTTTAGCCCAAGACCGAATATTTCAACGTGATCATTTTGCCTATAAATAAAGACATCTCTACTCTTCCTTCCTAGCTGTGTTTCTTTCTCTTGCTTTATAGTACTGGCGAGGACCTTCAGTGTAATGTAAAGGAGCGAGAGCAGAACTTTCCCTTGCTCCCCATCTTAGCAGGAAAGTGTTCAGTACTTCATCCTAAGTGTGTTGTCTTTTGGTGGATCATAGGTCATCCTTTTCAGATTAAGTTGCCTTTTAGTCATATATTGCTGAGTTTTTATCATGAAAAGATGTTAACTTTTTCAAGTCCTTTTTCTGCACCTGTTGAGATGATTATGTATATATTCTTTTTTACTACGTGTGTACGTGCATGAAGGATTGAACTCAGGAATTTTTTTTACCTTTTTTAAATGTAAATTACATTACTTCCCTCCCAAAGTGGCTGGAATTACAGGTTTATGTTTGGGGTGTTATTATTGACTATTTTTAAAGGATTGAGTGACTCTGAAAGGGTGGAAACCCAATAGGCCTTCTTGTCACACATGATGTGAGTATTGGAGACAGAGAGACTACGATCCAGATCCAACTACCCCACATCCTACTTCTTGGCTGCATAAATTTGGGCAAGTTACTTAACCTTTGTGTTCCTCCGAAATGTTTAAAATGAAGTACCTTAATAATAGTATCTACATACTTAAAATTAAATAGATATTTCTTTAGATGTGTTTATCATATCCCAACATTGAATAAATATTTATTGTTATTATTTTCATCATTATTATTATTCCCTAGAACACCACAAGTGAGAATTTCTCTCTCTGACCTCATTTCATGGCCCCAAATTCTCTCAAACCCTAAAGAATTGATCCTACCCTGCTATCCCTCACAAAGGAAGTACAGAGGATTGGCCTGACCCCTCCTCCCCAGTAAATCTGATCATGATCTGCTCTTCCCCACTTCATATCAACAGCCAAAGAAAAAGGCACTGCTTTCTTAAAGCCACCATTCCAAGAAGCCCAGTTCACTCACAAGCATCCTGCCCAAGAGCAACTCAGAATACGCAACCCTACCCAGAAAGGAGCCACTGTACTTGCTCTGTCCTCAGTCCCTGACCTTAAATCCCAGACAACCTTCCCACTTCTTCCACTACATATCTTAGCCTTTCTACTCCTCACCCAAGAAACAACTTTTGTGGGAGCATCTTTTACATCCTTACTTCCCTTTCTCTATAACCAAGTAGCCTTCCTCACTGATACAGCCATTATAGAAAAAGGAAGGCAGCTATGATCCGTCAAATGCTGGTGGTCTGCCCAGAATCCTCTCCTTTGGAAAGCTGGCTTCCTTCCATGATGACCCTCAGGTTATAGGGTTTGGGTACAGTTAGCTTGGCCCTCATCCCCAGCTGGCCTCAGGCAAAGGCATATGACACACACCTGATCAAGCATAGACTCCATCTCCTCAGTGAGAATGATTGGTTTGAGGATGTACATGTGACCCAAGTTGAACGCATTGGAGGCCACTTTGAAATTTCTGCCAGCATTTTCAAGAAAGAGAATGTTTCTTCTCCAGGATCATGAGTTCTAAATAGGCTTCCAAGAGTTAAGTGATGGGCCCAGGATTTACCTAGAGGCTGACTCCAGAATTGTCCTTGCTGACTGTTTTGCTCAGCTGCCTCATAGACACTGAAACAGAATCTGTGGGATGCTGGAGAAGTTTTATGGGCTGGAGACTTCAATGGATTGTGTGTTTCCTTGTTTCCCTTACTATCTAGAGAGCTGCCAGATGTCAGGAGTTAACATGTCACCTGCCAGGACCCACATGTCATTTGCTAGTGCTGGGCAGTTGACCATAACTGTGGCATCTTCAGGATCACCTGGGAAGCTTTATCAAAACAAATGGCTGGAACGTGCCCTGGACCCTATCATCAGAATTCCGTAAGGTTCTGTAACACGCTGCTGCATGTTATGTTTACTCAGCAAATATTCACTCTTCTCTCCCCTGCCTCTTGTGGCTACAAGTGTGCTATAGACTGATTTCTGTCTCCCAAAATCCATATGTTGAAGTCCTAAGTGCATTTGGCACTATTGGTAGATGGAACCTATCAGAAGTAATTAGGTCAAGAGTGTGGCGCCTTCATGATGGGATTGGTGCCCTTGTAAAAGATACTGGAATGCAAACTGTCTGTCTGTCTTCTGTCAGTCTAGCTATCTATGATTTATCTCTGTCCATATGAGGACACAGTGAGAAGATGGCTATTTGCAAAGAGAACCCTCACCAGGGCTCTGAATTAACCAGCACCTTGATCTTGATGGTTGCTACTTCCTGTCTAAAAGAAATAAATTTCTATTAAGTCACCCAGTCTATCGTATTTTGTTAAGGCAGCCCACAGACTAAGACACATAAAGAGCATATGCTTCTCTACCCATTGGTGTTAGTTTTGGTCTGGTGACTTGTTCTGGCCATGAAATGTCTGTAGAAATGAGAGTGCAATTCTGCATGTAGTAGGCTTTAGGGGCATTACACAGTTCCATCAGCCCTTTTTGAGCTCTTTCCCTTTACCATGACAACAACATGCCCTGATGGGAGCTACTCCTTCAGCCTTGGTCGTAGTGTGAGAAGGCACATGGGACAAACTTAACCTGTAGGTTGTGGCTGGGGAATATTGCCTGACCCTCAGGTAGGAGTAGAACCTGTCCAAGCCAATAGTAAAGGTAGCTCATCTATGAGCTATAAAAAAAAAATCATTGACAATTTGGGGATCTTGTTACAGCAGCCACAGCTGACTAACTAATATAGGTAATAGAAATGGGGATTTCCCCTGGTGACAAAGCTTGCCTTCTCCCCTAACTATAGAGGCAAAGGTTTAGATCAGCCCAGGTCTGAATCTTAGGATTACTAACCTCTTTGAGCTTCAGACTCTTTAACTTGCAAAATAACCTCTCTGAATTGGGGTAACAATTACATAAGGTAGTTTATGTAAAGCTCGCCGCTCTACAGAAGACACGTGAGGTACATCTGCTCCCTCTCTAAGCATGATGCAAAGGGCAGTGATAAGTACTTGTGAGCAGAATGTATGAATGAATGAATCCTTCCAACTCTAAGACCTTGTGCATTGAGGTTTACCCACCTTTCTTCCTCATCGCTGCTGGATCCTTCTTCAACTGCTAACTTATCTTGATACTCTTCTCTGGGCAGTGTCTGAGAAGGTTCCTTCACCTTTGAGCATGAATCCTAAGGCAGAAACAATGGCAGAATGAGTTTAAGTGAGTTCCCTGGTTGAACCTACCTTGTTTAAACCAGAGAGCAGAAGTGAAAGAGCCCCCAGAGATTTACTCTTGGTGCCCAGCTTACAGGCCTGGGATAATGAGGTTTGTGATGATGGAGGAACTTGAACAGTGCCTGGTTTGTGATTACTGCCAGCCCTTCTCCTTGTGTCCCGATTTTCAGTCTACAAAGAAGTTCACACAGTTGATGGATCTAAAGCCCAAGGAGAGTAAGTAACCTGCCCAGTTCCCACCAGCAGTGAGTAGGAATGGGACATGGACAATCTGACCCTGGGGCCTGAACTCTCTACCACTTCAGGAGACAGTCCCATGTACACTCTGCAGAGTGGTCTGGTTGTGCCTGACTCTAGGGACTGTGGTGAGGATCAGAGAACAGCACTTGCACAAATTCAGTGGTCCATAAGTATGAGCAGCTGTAATTGTTTTTACTGTCATCATTTTCTAGAGTGTAGTATACATCTCATTTACATTGGATCAGAAAACATGGAACTTGATGAATGACTAGAAGCACTGAGAAATGGGATATGAGAAAAGAACATGGAAATGATTCATTAACAACGAGACTACGGAACTTTTAATCAATCGAATTTGTAAATGCTATCACTCTCTTCTTTCCACAGAGATATAAAGGTGAGAAAGTCCTCTAGTTGGATTGTCATGGAAACACTGTCCACGGGGAACAGTGTAATGAGACAGGTGGGAAGAGATTCATTTGTTGTCAAAGTCTTATTAGGTAAATTACAAGCTGGGGACTTCATGACCCCTGAGCCAACATCTTCCTTTATCTGGACCTGTTCACCAGCTGAAAACAGAGGGGTTGCATCTGTGGTTTTCAAACTGTGTTCTGAGGACCCTGTGAGGTATCTCAGGGACTCTGGGGTGGGAAGAGGTGGAGCTGAGCTGGAGGGGGCGCCTTGGGTTCCCATACCCACTTGATGTGGAATGAAACTGCTTTGGTGCCTTTCCATGTGATATCTGTCGAAGTCCACGATGTTAAGCAGTGATGGAAGCCTCCACATTCCCAAGCACATGACCAGTTTTCAGGCCTCAGCTAGCTGGGCCTCTGAGCAGAACTGGAAATATCTGGTCCCTCCTGCTCAGTGCAGCCTCCTCTTGGGTCTCCTCTGTCCCACTTCTCCCCAGTTGCTCCTCAGTTTCCCCTGCTAGGCCCCCTCATCTGCCCCAGTCCTGCCCTCAGACTTCTCTTCTCTTCTTTGTACTAATCCCATAGCATTAAATGCCACATGGATAGTGATGTTACCAACAAACAAATTTACTTCTCCATTTTCAAGCTTTGCCCCAATGTTTGGACATGTGTATCCAACTGCCTTATTGTTTAATAAACCTCTTAGACTGTGATGTGTCTAGAACTCCAATCAACAAGCGTGCACCTGCCTCAGGACTCAGCACAGGCCATTCTCCATGCCTGAGATGCTCTTTCCTCTGATACTTGCATTGTTTGCACCCTACTTTAGTCACTGCAACCAAGAGACTTTCTGTAGTTTAAGACTTGGGCTCTGGTACCAAAGTCCATGTTTAAATCCCAGTTCTTCCACTAATTAATGATGTAACTGTATGAAAGTTACTTAAGTTGTCCTGAGGATTAGATGGACTCATGTATGTAGTGCCTTTAGAACAGTATTAAGTACATGATGAATACAAGTTAATATTCTGCAGGATTATGGCTCCCTGACTACTTTCTGTTATGGTTTGGTTATGAAGCAGACTAATGAGCTAGGATGATGAAGATTTGAATGACAAAATTAAGAATCTAACTCTAATAGCTGAAAAATCCCTAGTAGCTTCTAACATTTATATGGTGCTTGGTGTGCGCTAGGCCCTCAACTCTGAGAGGGGTATTATCTTCCCATCCCATTTAGAGGTGACAGAACTGAGGCAGGAGAGGATAAGTAACTAGCCCAACGCCAACAGTGAATATATTACAGAGTAAGGATTCAAATATATTGTCTTTAACAACCAAACTGAGAATATATGCTTTTTATCTATCATATAATAAATATTCTAAAACCCGATCCCATATTGACCTACAAAGCAAATTTATACACAGTTCAAAGTATTGATGTTCTGCAGATTATGTTATCTGATTACATTTCAATAAAATTGAAAGCAGTAAGAAAGTAGGTTAAAAATAGCATAAACTTCAAAACTTTGAGACACAGCTAAAGATGTACTTAGAGGGAAATTTAGAGACTTAAACATATTTACTAGAAAATACTCAAGAAGTTAGAAAATGAACGATGGAATAAACCCAAAGTCAGTAACAAAAAAGAGATAATAAATGAAATAAAAAAAAAAATCTAAGCAGCACATCTGAGAATTGCCTTTTTGCAAAGACATGTTAAACTGCCAGCAGGCCTGATCAAGGCAAAGGGAAGAAGGAACTCAAAGCAACATGAATAATGGACAAGGATCTCATAACAGAGCAGAGATGAAAAAGAATTCCAAATGTACTATGAGCTGCCATGAAGCCCATGAAAGGGGATCTTCAGGATGTAATTTTTGGGTTGCTTTATTGACCAGTGCTGTGCTTAAAGGAGTCCCGGGCAGAAGTCCAGAAACAGGAGTGACTGAAAACACTAAAAGAGCTGATGCATCAGATAACAACACTGGCTCTCAGCTACATTACATTTGCCTATTTCCATACATTATCTCATGGATGCCAGGAAAGATGCTGCCATCCTTGATCTATATATAGCTGCAGAACTATGGTCAGAGACATCCAGTGACTATCTCAGGTCACAGGCCACTGGAGCTTGGCATGAAAAGAGGACCCCTGTATTCTCTGATTTCTACTCATGTCATTCCATGTCAATGCACTCATACCTGAATGTGTCATGTTGACACCATCCCAGCTGCCAGCATCAGAGCCTAACTGTGAGTTCAAACTATATTGTGCAATCATGGCACTAAAAATATCTGCAAAACAGAGATTCGAAATCAACCTGAGAAGAATGACCTCAACACTATGGTGGAAAGAAGCCCTGACTCTCTCTGCCCCTACAAAAACATCAAGGCAGCAACAATTCATGAAAAAAAATCCTCCATGTGAGAAATCAGAAAATAATGAAAAGTTCCTGCACCGATGAAGAAAGAAGACTCACCAAAGGTGGAAGGCAGATTTAGGACACCCTTTTGCCAGAGGTACTGTCCCGGTTGCAGCATGATATAAGCAGACAGAGACCATCTAGCTCCTAGTTTCACCCAGGAGAGAGAAGGGGTGTCTAGCAACGCAACTTTTCCAAGGGGGCTCCCCAGAGGGTTGACTTCTGTCTGGCTAGTCAGTGAGCTCTGACAGTCCAGTCATAGACTAGCCATCTGAAGAAGAATGGAGGCAGAGGCTTAGCCTGGTGAACACCATAGCTCACTTTGTTCTCAGCACAGAGTCAGCAAACAAAAACCAGCTGTCTGCTTCTCTCTGGGAGAGAAAGAGTTGGTAGAGACTGCCAGAACCTGGCCAGCTTGATTAATGGGAGATTCTCTGGTACAAGACTAGTTTGTGAAGATGGGGGAGAAGTGCCTGCTTTATCTAATGTGCAGACAACATCACAGAGAGTCAAGGAAAAAAACAGGCAAAATTTTCCAAACAGAAGAACAATATAAACCTCCAGAAAGTGAACCTAATGAGAATTAAAACTAATTCTCAGAAAGTTGCCTACTGACATAATGAGAAAAATGAATGAACTCAACGAGAAATTCAACAGATAGAAATATACGTAATATAAATAACATTACACAACAAGCTAAGTATATGACAATAGTAAAAATGATAAATGCAATGGAGGAAAAGCAGTACAAACAAAGAAAGATCATAGCTATAAATGCACATCTGTATGTATCTGTATACACATTGAGAGATCTGTATATACAAATGGAAATCATGGTGCTGAAGAACATAGTAATTGAACTACAAATTCACTAGAGGGGTTGATCAAGCTGGCCAGATTCTGGCAGCCTCTACAACTCTTTCTCTCCCAAAAAGAAGCCGACAGCTTGGTTTTTGTTTGCTGACTCTGAGCTGAGAATAAAAGGAGCTATGGTGCCTACCACTCCAAGTCTCTGCCTCTATTCTCCTTCAGGTGGCTAGTCTACGATATGATTAAGAGATGATTAAACAGAAGAAAGAATTGACAAACTCAAAGACAGGTCACCAGAAATAATTCAGTCAGAGAAGCAAAAACGAAATAGAAGAAAAAAAAAGTGAAGAAAGCTTAAGAGAGTTATGAGGACAAGCTACGCTTATATAGGAGTTCCAGAACGAAGCAAGAGACAAAGGACAAGAAAGCCTCTTCAGAGAAATGATGGGTGAAAAATTCCCAAACCTGGGGAATAAAATAAACACACACCTCTAAGCAGCCAAAGGACACTAAATAAGATGAAGCCAAAGAAATCTATGGTGAGACACATTGTCCAAAGTCAAAGACAGAATTTTGAAAGCAGCAAAAGAAAAGCTAGTTTGTACATATGAGAAAATCATCCTACAACGTTAACTATATTTTTCAAAGGAAATGTTGCAGACTAGAAAGGAATGGGATAATGTATACAAAGTGCTAAAAAACAAAAAAGAAAAAAAAAAAGAAACCTTACAACCAAGAATATCATACCCAGAAAACTCTCCTGCACAGTTGAAGAGAGAGATTTTCCCTGACAAACAAAAAGATGATGGACTTTATCACACTAGCCCTGCCTTACAAGAAAAAAATTTTTAAAAAGAAATTAGAAAATATTTTGAGACAAACAGAAACAATAGTAAGACATAACTAAAGCAATGGAGCAAAAGCAGTACAAAGAAGGAAAATCCATAGCTATAAACGCCTACATTAGAAGAGGAAAGATTTCAAGTAAATAACCTAACTGCTAGAAAAACAAACTAAAGTCAAAGGTAGTAGAAGGGCAAAAATAATTAAAGTAGAGTAAATTAAATAGAAA